ATATTGCTCTTGACCTAACATATTTGGCCACTGGAAGTTAAAAAATACAGAAATAGCAAAAAGAATTATAAATTATAAAAGCACATATTTCCATCGATTTGAGGCATTTAAACTGATCCTTATTGCAACAGAACTTATAAACTGATAAAGGAAACAAACAAAGCCTTGCAAGATGACTGCTATTTTCTTGGTGAAACGTGCCACCGTAACATCCTTTGTCGTGTGTAAGTTGAGCCAGAATCCTACTGGTAGACAGAATATAATACAAAACCGATTGTGTAGACTCCAAAATCAAAATCGATACAAATTGGCATGATTTACAATGCTCAAATGACTTACAAATGAAGTCTATGTTCTTTGAAGATTTTGAACATATGATTCAAGTAGGTGGAAAAATAAATACTATCTCAATGACATAGAACAAATTGTGATTTGATCAATAATTCAGGATCAGTATGATCAAAGCCTTCATCTTAGCAATAAGGTTCTAGATAATATCTGTGCATACAGTGATGAGTCATCAGAAAACTATAGCAGCAACAGAAGTTTGTCCAGGCATCCACAACATTACCTTTTCTTCAGTGCTTGAGAGGTGTGAGTGAGATTCCAGAGGAGGCTTAAAGGAAAATGCTTCTGGAATGTCTTCAAATAGATCGTTGTCACTTTTAGTAGAAACTGCTGAAAGTGAGAGTGACATTGGGTTTGAATCAATATCTGCAAAATTGAACTTGCCTGTTGTTGGAGATGGTTGAGCCTAGAAAAATAGCAACGAAAAGTCAGGTAACAAGAGACCCAGAGTTTCAGCCCTATATGTTAATGAACTGAATATGACAAGTAGAAAACTTTCAAATATAAAAATGGCCGAGTTTAAAATTCCCAAGGACCTCAATGCCAATATGCATTGAATTAACAGAAAAAATGGCAAAAGAACACCAAGAAACTGATACACAGCTCTCAAGCCCTTTCTACTTATATTCATATATGTTTAAGCTCCAGCGAATTGTTGACTAAATTGTATATTTTTCAACTTGTTTGTGTAAGCATGAAATAACTAGCAGCGGACTTGCATAAAATGTCTCCAACAGTGTGCACCATTGATTTACTGAAGTAGAAAATGCCATGCTTGTCCTTATCATTTTCCTAGCCCAAGTTAAAATGTGAACCCACCTGCTCCGATCGGATAATTTATCAGTCTGACTATGTATCACTAGCATTCTCAACGATGATGTAATATAAGCAATTAAGGAAAATTAATGCCGAATTGTAAATGAGCCTTTTACGTAACATATTGAATCAACACTTATTTCCTGTAACCTCACAGAAATTTCTTCTTTTTTTTTTTGCCAAAGAAGTTAAACACAAGGACCATGGGCAAATCCATATATGCTATCATTTTGTTTAAAGGTAACAAGTGCTATGATTCATGAACAACGAAAATCCATTTGTTCTTTCACTACTTGGTTAAGAACCACGATGATGTTGGTGCATTCAACAAAGGATCAATGAACACAGTGACCCTGTAGAGGTTCTTCTCACTCTACAACAACTAACTATCGGCAAAGTTGTTGATATTATGTTGCAGTTCTTAATTTATATTCTCCATCTATCTGACTTCCTTAATGTGTTTATGTAGAAAACACGACAACTACTAAAAGAATGCAAGGTACAATATCTCACCAGACAATTAGCAAGAAAAACCGGGGACTCCAACAACATGGTGGGACTTAGACCAGGTGGAATAGTCAAATAAGGGGAACATATTTCCGAGGATGAAACGATGGTGGCCGGTGGTATCCGAGCTGTATCAAGCTTCGGCACATTAAATCCTTTTCTGGCTGCCATCCTCTCAGCAAGACCTACAGCAGAGCATGATTTGGGGGCATCAAAAGGTTTTGGTTGCACTGAGGCATCATTTGAGAAGTCGTTTCCAGCCTCAGCTTCTTCTATTTTTGTGTTTATGCCCATTTTCTGGTTTTCACATGTCCAACGAAACCCCACATTTCCATTCTCTGTCAAGAAATCTGAGAATGATTTCGATCCAAATTCTTCGTTTATAGAGTTCGAAAGAAAGGCTCTTGAGCTAGGATTTGGAGGTGGGCGGTCGTCGATCATGGCGTTGTTGTCATCTGTCTTAGCCATGATTAATTCAATTCTTCACTTGATTCAGCACAAATTCCTGCAGGATCTTAGTAGGCAAATAAAGGAGAAGATTATATTCAGATGAAGCTTATGAACAAACGCGGCTCGGAATTCCAATGTTCTAACAAGAGAAACAAAAATCAGAACCTACCTTCAACGCAACCTGACAACAAACTAATAGACCAGCGAGCGAAAGGGAAAGATGAGATTTTGAAGGATTCCCAATCACGCAATTGAAGAAAAATGACTTGGATTACTAAAAAGTTTCGATTTTTAGGCAATCACAGGTAACAAAATCAACAAAAAGCGACAAACTTCAGGACGAACGAAGACCCAGAATGTCCAAATGACCACATACATCTCCGGAATGAAGCTACCAAAAACCCGCAAAATTGAATCTTTGCAACAGAAACAAAACAGGAGGGAAGAATTACAAGCAAAAAGAACCAAGGATGCAAGGCAAAAGTTACGGACCGAATCACACCACTTGGAAGGTGGGAGCAGGAACAGAGGCTTCGAAAACATCCAATGATTGGTCAGCTTCGAGCTCCGAGGCTGCAACACCAGGGAATGGACAGGGACAGGTGCTACAGGGGGAGGCAAGCATCAACGAGACATAAATCACACACATTTGTTGCTTCCTCGGGGAAATCCAAAAATTCTCCCAATAAATCTCCCTGCTTTCTCTCTAAAAAAGAGAGAAAGAGAGGGAGAGGGCGGTTTGACCGAGAAAAGGAGGAGGAAAAAGAGAGAGAGGAGAGAGAGCAAGAGGGAGACACGAGAACTAGGAAGGATTTGTTGGCATTGAAAGGTTAAAGAGAGCGCGCATTAAATGGAGAACAACTCTTCTTTTGTTTGTTCTCTTTCCCTTATTTATTCCACCTTTTCTGTTTTATATTCTTTGTATTCTTTTTCAGATTAACTCTCATCATTTCTATATTAACACATCACTCCACATTTCTCGACATATCCCTATGTCAATGCTCGATTCTTCACGTTTGATACATTGCAATTGTACATTGCCAAAATATTTAGTGCATTGATCGATCGTATCCCATTTCATAGTAGTTTATCTAAAGGATAAGAATCTTTGCATTTTGATTTGCTTGATCCCAACACCCTTGTGTTAGTTGTTGTTTGCATTTTTTTGTGGATGAAGATTTGATTTAATACCTCACGCAACTCTTTTAGGAATCTATATTTTTATTTTGTCGACAACTTTCAAAAATCTAAGTTTAATCGAAGCATTATTTAAATGAGAAACGGGAAGGAAAATGGATATATGAAAGACTTAAATGATCAAAATGCAATCTTGAAGTGCTTAATCAAACTCGGTTTATTGTTTGTTTAATGGAGGGTAAATAGAGGAGGGAGGGAGGGAGGGAGGGAGTGGAGGGTGAAGGAAAGCCGCATCTTATGGGAATGGTGGCAGTGCCATGTGGAAAGATAGATTACAGTTTCTTTGTGTTGCTACCAATTGTCACCTCTTTTTTATTTCTATTATTGTTTATCTTCTCTAATTGTTTAGCTAACGATAGCACAAATCATGGTTTTGCAAGAAATGAGGTTCCAAAGTGTCTTTTGCTTTGCCTGAGAAAAGATTATGCAGTTCCATTTTAGGTGGCAAGTGAAAGCTTAATTGGAGTGCACGACATGACAAAAGTGATTGTTGCCGAGTCCTTTTCATGGTGGAAGGAAGGGGCATTTCTTCTTCCAAGAGAATCCCCATATCTGAAGACTCTCTCCCCACAGCACTCCTTTTGGAGTACAGCTTGAGCTCCACCCTTGACCATTGACGCTGTCGATGCACCTGTGTCACCCATCTCGGTAATGTTTCTCCAACATCAGGCTCTATAAAGTTTATAACGAGATAGAACAGTGTTTCGGTGAGAAGCTCTAATGATGAAGCATGGAAAAAGGGTTGTTTGGATTACAGTGCTCGTTTGGACGCAGTAAATTAGCTCGATTCTACTTAGCTGAGGAGAAAGAAGGAAAGGAAAGCAAGTAATTGTAATTGCTTTTCTCCCTCTGCTCGACCTCTCCACGAGCCACGTATTCAAACAGAGCCTCATGGTAGTCTTCTGGAGAGCAGTCTTTTCTCCGCAACTTCGACGATCACGGCGAGAAGGCTGCTGCTGCAAGTTCTCCTCTGCAAGCCAAATAGAAAGACTAGTAGACGCACTTGGATGAGTGAAGCTTGCAAGGAATAAGGAATGGTGGGGAAGTCTCTTTCCATTTGGAGTTGGATGAAGTGTGTTGGCAAAGAAAGATCGCAAGAGCAACGATAAAGACAGATCAATTTACAACTGATCAAAGAAAAGAATCACAAAGTCAACAATAAAGAAGAAACAAGAAATTCTTCAAGTGATATCGAAACCATTAATGCTTAATATTTCTAATTCCTTGATGACTAGTGTGCATTTCCAAGTGAAGTGTGTTCCAAACGAAAGTAGTTTGCAGGATAACATACGAGGGTGAAGAAAAATCAAAGGGAAACTGATGGTTGCAGGAGCCAAACATTACATTTAACACAGATGAAGGAGCCTTAACTCTGACCGGCTTACCGATAATTTTGTCTCTCCTCTCGGGATAATCCACGTTTGGCTCGGGGCTTACTCCGAAATGATCGGGTCGAAGTTCCTAACGATTAATATCCCTTTGAAAAAATAAAATGAAATATAGCTAATTCCCCGATAAAACACACCAACATTTTTTCATACAAGTGGATGTAATTCACAGGCTTTTTTTTTCCCAAAAAAAAACTTTTTACAATGAGAAAAGAAACCTGTCAAGTGTAAACCTCCAACATCAAAGTAACATAATGTAGGCCTTGTGTTGCTCTTCTACAGTCGATTAGACAATACTGGTAATCCAAATCGAAATGATAATGTTGGATTAAAGACTCAGGCAGATGGATAAAATTCAGTACAATAATTTCCAGATCCAGCACCAGATCTTATGAATTTTTTGTTTTTTCATCTTGATCATTCCAACTTTGCATTAGATAACAACAAGAATATCCAGATTCAGATTTTGGAGGTGATTGTGGCTTCTCACAACCATTTTTTCCAACTAGAGGTTCTTTTATCACCAGATAAAAATCTAGGAATATTAAGTAGGGAATTTACCCTAGTGAAACCATCTAAGGCTGACCATTCCTCCTCCTCAAGAACGGATATACAATGGGCAAGGCTCCTGGTAGATTGGGAATTTTCTGGCACAGTCATCACTTGGGGTCCCTCAGATACTGAAACAATCTCATTTGCACTGTGAAGAGCATAAGAGGGTTCCAATCCAGTAGTATCAACAGTGATCGATGATTTCAATTCACATGTTTCTTGTTCGCCTATAACTTCTTTATCAGTAAGACCCAACACCATTGGCTTTTTTGGCTCGGTCTGTTTCTTGTTCGAGTCGCAATTCTGAGATGCATCAGATGATATGTGTCCCAAGAATAGGCAGATGACAGCACAGTCATCGACCTTTGATGTAGGAAACTTAAGCTGCCATTCTCGCACTGCACAGTCGACAACAGCTCTGGCAGCACTGCTGCGAGTGGGTGCTGATACAACAATATCTACTACCTCCTTGTTAGAAAGAACATCCCAAACCTGCACAAAATTAATCCTCATGTTAGAAACTATATAATCTTCTAAATCAAGCTAGCTTTTCATCAATGTAAATATCATGCAAGCAAAATGTTAATTGAAAATGACTAAATGAGAAAAGATTCATGACTGATGGTTAATATTTTACTAATTACGATATGGATCAGTATTGGTTACACAACAGAAGCATGCACTTGCAAAAACACAAAAGACCTGTGAAGAATGAATTAGATGGCTACTCTAGTGGGACCAATTGTAAAGAACAAATAGGAGAATTTTCACTAAATTGTAGACCGACAGCCTCACAATGCCAACAGCCAAACATATGAACAACAATGTCTTAAAGAAAAAGTATTTCATACAAGATTTGGGTCTAATATGAACAAAAAGTATGAGGTGCCATGCCTTTTCATATTTGGGTTTAATATTCTGATAACTTCATGCAGTATGAGGTGCCATGGAGCCAACTGGAACTCGAAACATGCCGTGCCAGAAGGCACCAACAGATGTCATGCCAACTGGTGCCAACATATGGCTATGTTAATCTTTACATTTAATAGCCGGCACAGGGGCATGCCAGTCAGCATGGCACATGATCATACTGTACCAAACAAGTATCAGCATGCCTTCATACCAAAACATGGCAATCCTTATGCAGCACAAATAACAATGCCAATGGAAAATACCTTCTGACAGATAGTCTACTGAAGAATATTTTCTATATTCAAAAGGACTGTGTAAAGGATAGTTTTGCAAGAGTGATGATGATGTCCAACGAGAGGGATAAAGACAACTGCAAAATAAGTTTATGATGCAACCACAGAATACAGATGCCAATTGGGCTACACTAATTTGGTTTTCATAATTCTAAGATAATAAAATATTACAGAAAGATTTTTCACACATATCTATCAATCTAGATAGTACTTGATCTAAAACTAACATTTTAATTTTGCAACAGTATTTAGCAAAGGAAATTACACAATGACAGGAAAAGAAAAATACCCCATCGGTGGCAAGAACTATAAACTCATCTTTCTCAGTCAGATGGCGATATGAAATTTCTGGAACTGATATTAGACCATAATCTTTAAGACAGAAATCCCCAAAAGCCCTGGCCATAGCCAATCCAGGGGAATTGTTGTTTGGCAACCAAACACGAGCGACTTCTGGTTCATCTTGCAGTGCAAAAACTCTTCCCTTGCATTGCTGGATTCTGGCAGCTTCCCCTAGTGACAACATATTAAAGTTTAATCCCAGGTAGACCTAATAAGTTAAGGAGATTACTAAAGCTTGTCAACAATGAGAAGTGAACATCACTCAGCAACGAAGAAATATAGACATAGAACTGTGAAATTGTAGACTTAAGACTTAAGAGTGAATTGTTTCACCTCTTAAAATAATTGATTAATTATGGCAAAGACCTGGATTATTATATAGATCAGTAACATAAGCCCTACGTAAAATGAAAACACTCCGATAGAAGCAAAGTGAATGCTCTATTCTATCAATATTTTATGCCAACAGTGCTTTCGATAAAAGTTATAGTTACTTGGAAGATTGGGCTTCAGGTCAACGGTCAACTGTAAAGCAATTAAATTATTGTCCTCATCTCGTGTTCCCATTATCGCTCTTGAGTCACCAATGTTTCCAATAACAAGGTCCTGTCCCTGTAGAAGAAAAGTCAAACTTAATGGCCACCAAATAGATCGAGACAAAACCAATTTTAAGTTTTGGCAACTACTTAAAAGTTCACCAAAAAACTTAATTGTTTTAAAGTATCTGAAAGACTGAAACTACATGCATTAGTAAATAATAATGATGACTAATTAAAAACTTCAAAAATTAGGAAGTCTAGAATCCCTAAACCAAGTCAACTTTGGAATTTCTTTTAAGCACCAGAAAGACAAGAATCATGTGAAGAAACAAAAACATTTTGCAACTCAACTATTACCTGCTTTACTATAGTAACTGCTGTAGTTCCACTACAAAAACAATCGATCAATGGATGAAACTTCAACTCTTTGTCCATCAATCTAAATGCCTTCAGGAAAGATTGCTTCAGTGGAAGATACATCTCAGGCACTTTTTCATTCTCATCCATGTAGTCACTCCAATTATCATCTTTGCTAAAAGATGCCATTTCTTCAGAGTCCATGCTCCCAGAAATACTACCATTTAGATCAGGACTCTCGTGACTGTTAACTCTAACTCTCCATTGGGTGGACAACTTTAGAGGAAGAGAATCTCTGACTTTCTTAGCAACCATATGACCATATGGACCGTGACCATCAAACACCCCGCAGAAAATGGTGCCTTTTGTCAAAGAGAAATTCTACAAACACATATATCATTGTAATGTAATCAACAAGAAGTTCCAAATGGTAGCGTTTGCAATGAAGGCAATATGTATATACTGGTTGGTAAAAATGAAGGTTTTTCCATGTTATCTAAATGATTGTAATGAACATCATACATAAATAATATATGCAGGTGGAGTAACAAGGCAATAGCAACAAGGTAACAAGCATGTGTTATTGGAAAAGCAATAGCTATTGCAATGACCAACAAGACAAACCCAGCAGCAAGAAACTTCTAATTTAGCTGCTGCACCTGCTTTGAGTCATCTCTCTTGCCTTTACATAATCAGGTACTCATTCTAATAAAAGTAAGATTAAGCATAGATTCAATTGTTCATTTTGTCAAAGCTCAGTTTCCTCTCCCACGGCCTACTATTTTACAGAGTAATTCTCTAGGAAACAGATGCTTAAAAGGCCATTTATTTGCAGCCGCATTTGAAAATGTGAAGGCTTCAGCAATCAGATGGCCATCAACTCTGACATATTCTTTAAAGATGCCATGCAGCTATTGCAACAATCTCATTAGTTAATAAATTTCTCCAGATTTCATGTGTCTTTGTAATAAGCATAAATAATTGATGCATTTGGGAAGATCAGAATATAGATTATCTCAACTCATTTGGATTACATATATTTAGGTATCTTCAATTTACTAGATTTTGGCACCAAAACACCTGCATGATTAGTTCACTACAGAATTGAGGATACAGACTTAGTTATTCTATTGACATATGTCATATATATTTTCATTTATATGAGAATTTAAATGAAGACAGTTTAATGCAGGGGTAGCTCCATGCTTAGGCAATCTTGTCTCTTTTGGTAAATATGCCAATATGGATGTATTGCAATACATATATGTTAGAGACTATATGTATGCCATGCTCTAACTTTCCTTCAAGACTGGAGTAAAAATAACAAATCAGAGTGCAGTTAATGAGTAACTACTATGCAAAAAACAAATCTATCACAAACGAGCACAGAGGCATGAAAACTAGAAGTCACAGGTAACTACAGAAAACTAGAAGTAAGCATAATTGTTAATGTGAAATTACATAATGTGCTAATTTTGGAAACTATTGTTTAGCTAAAATTTTTAAGCATTGATGATAGATAGTGCAATCTATAAGTGTAAGATTCTTAACTGTTCTGGCCTCTTTCTTATATTTCAGAAATGGGCTTCTTTATGTTTTTATTCTAGTAATAATTACAAATTAGAGCAACAAAAAGAACCTCGATATTAACTTACAGAATTACTAGATTAAGAAAAAAAAAATTCCCAAGGGAACATTGGGCTATTTACCAAAGAATTTGTGAAAAAGAAATAAGACACAGAAGAAACATTAAAGGACACCAGTGAAAAGGGAAACAGGTACATCACCATGCAAGATATTGCTGTATATTGCAAATCGTCAAAAACTAATAGCCTTCCAATGACAAGTGGAATCACCAACCACAAATTCCACAAAAATTCAAGATTTAAGAAGCAAAATATCACGAACTTCCCCCAAAATCAGTCAAAAAGAAGCCAATTATCAAAAGTAGATTTTTTGTTTTTTTGAGTAAAACATGCTACATAATGTTTCCGTTCCAAGAAAATAAATCATACTGAAAGGAAAAGACTGAGTTTAATTGGACAAACAATATGCAACAAGAAGAGCAAAATAGACAGAGCATCGATTCATCACCACTACGCATAAAGACACATTCTTGAGATCGAAACCACGTAGTATTGCCAACGAAAACCATCATTTGTCGCCATAAAAGCGAACAAGAGCCGACAAGCAGATAGATACCTCCCACACGATCATTGCATCCTGGTTAGTCCCCTTCCGTCCCTGCTGCGTGTACAGGCAAGCGACCTCGCTGGCGTCATTCAAGAACATCCGGCCCGGCATGCGGCGGAGCTCATCCTCCACGGCCTCGCAGCCGCCGTCGGCCGCTTCCCGCCGCCGCCCGCCGCTACCTGCCCCCCGTCTGCCTCTCTTCTGCTTCTCCTTCCTTACCTTCTTCCTCCCCCTCCAGCTCTTGGAGCCGAGACGAGGGAGGGTCGAGGAGGAGCCTCCGTAGCCTGGGCCCACCGTCGGAGTTCCCTCCACCGTCACCGGCGACGGGGATGCGGAGAGGCACGAGCCCATCAAGTATCCGCGAGAGCAAAAGAAAGACTCGTTTTGGTGCCACTAAGAGCGTCATGTTATGTAAGCGACCGGTTGGAGTTTATTACTTAGAAATCAAAGTATATATATATATATATATATATATATATATATATATATATATATATATATATATATACACACACACACGCACTTTAGAAATAGAAGGTGTGATCTAAAAAATTTCAAGGGGATACTTAATAATCATTTTTTTATTTTTTATTTCTTCAAGATTTCATTAATATAAATATCCAAAATTTATTGATTAATTAATTTTTGTCCTTATTCAGTGTAAGAAATAATTTCACAAAGTTTTTGTCTCTTTAAAAAAAAGAGAAAATTCTAAGTAAATAGAGAAGGCCACAAATTCTTTGTCTTTTATGCTCTGTATATAAAAAGAGAGTTGAGTAAGATAAATCTACAGTAATCATCGTCGATTATAACTCAGTTCAAGTTTGTATTTGAACATTGTTGGATAGCATGCACAACTCATCCCAATTAATTTGCGTAGAAGGATTCGGAAGAGGATGACAAAGACATAGATGATGATGCGTGTCTTTTTGTTTGATTCCTTTTGATCCATCCTCTTGTTGTCTAGATAAAAGGTAGTGATGAGAAAAGCTGTAGCTTTGATTGCCCACACTGTTGTCAATGACAACGAAAGGAGAGCAAGCAATGTTTCGTTCTTCTTCTCTATCCACATTAATCAAAGCAGTAAGTTTGGTAATCCATTACTACATTATCTAATTATGCATGAGATTAGGTAGCTCGATTTGGACCTATATCAAATTTTGGCTCCTCATGATAAGGTTGAGTCAACTCTGGGTTGTTTATTATTTCATTACCTATTATTAATTGTTAGGATTGATCGAATCAAATATTCAAGATAAGGAATTCAAGTACGAAAAAAACTATATAAATTAAGATTTATTATTTCGTTCTTCAACTTGTTTATGTGTTATTATTGATTATCTTGATTGTTCATTTGATATTAGTCTTCTACTAATTACAATTTAAGCTCATAAAATTAACAAGCAGTCCTTCAAAATTCCTTTGAAGTTGGAAAACATTCACAAGTTGAAGAAGAAAAAACAAAAAAAGACTAGTAGTACATTAAGCTGGCCAAGGAGATAATTAACAAGCATCATAAACCATCAATTCTCAACTCTTGACCTCACAAATTACTTAAGTTTGGCATTGTCATCCTGTACTTAATGCTTGCTTGTTTTGGTTCTTCACCAGAACAAAAAAAACATACTCCATCCAGAGACTCCAAAAGAAAAGTTAGCTCATGCTGCTACTGCTTGTGCCTAAAGAAGTCACAGTTGCAGAGAGTAAAAACAAGAAGAAGATAACAGCAGGTAGCATTTATGAATGACCTACCATGCTCTGCATTTAATTTGAGTACCTACTGCAGAACTTGTCATAGGTATGGTTACTGCATGCAACAGCACAACATTTCTTCCTCTCTTTTCCTTTTGGAAGTGAAACATGAGCTTTCTAATTCTCATAAATTAGGGTCAAAAGTCGAAGCAGAAGTGTTATTTCAAACCATAATAACAAGTATATTTTCTGCAGAGCATGTGGGTGGGGGATGGACTGACTTGATGTCTGTCCCTCCATTCAGGACAAGCTTCTCTGTCACATTCTTCCACAATGAGCAGAGGGGTCACTCAACCACAACAGCCTATTGTACCAATTCATTTATCACCATGGCCTAAGCACATGAAAGCATATGATTCATTTAAACCCCATCTAAAAGACTTGCTGAGTAGGAAGGCATTCTCAGTTTGATCAGCTATTAATGACAATATTAGTTCTTTCTAAGCAGTTTCAAGTCCCTAGCTTACTTCTAAATCATGGATTATTAACCACATTAATCTGCTGTCCATTTAATTTATTTGTTTATCAGTACATCAACCTACTTTTTCTCTAGAAAGTTACTGAATACATGGTCACCTCACATGACCAGTTTGCTTTTTATTTATTTCTTCCCCCCTTTCTCTTATTTCTATGTGAGAAAAGATAGGTGAAGCTACTAGAGATATGTCAAACAATAATGCCATGGCACACAACCAAGATATACTAATCTACATTATTCAAGTCATTTGAATACTCATGGTGACATGATCGAGCTTAAACCACTGCATCACAAGCCAAATCCGCAACATAACTACAAGTGAGTAACATGCAGAAAGTACAAATTCATTTTGTGCTTCCATATGTTTCTACAATTTATAATTGATTCCTTTTTTGTTTTCCTACATTCTTACTGGCTTTGATGGAAATTCTAAATGAATTTTTCATGGCTCTCAAAGGCAGGAACAATTTTGTAGTTGGACATGCCCACCATGTATTGGATCTAATATGCAGTAGTTGGAAAATCCCCACCACACTTCAATATGGTGAGATAATTGTCACTCTCCATAGTTAAATACTTTTCTTCTTATGACTAGCTACCACTGTTGTGGACCATTTGGATTCAATTCTCTGCTTCAATATTTTTCTGTTGTCGGCTATTGAGGCACTAGGAAGAGCTAAGAGAAGGATATTTCTATGCCTTGGTCAAGATATCATATCTTTGTGGTAATTGTCATTGTGGTTAGGGGCTGAAACAAGGGTCATAGGCACAAGGAAACTTTGGTCAATCAAGCATAGAATTCAAGTTTTTCCATAGGCCTTAATTTCCCTTTTTTATTGTAACAATCCATGGAAATGAAAGTGATAATGGCCAAACAAAGGCCTGTGCATTTTTTTAGCTTATTTAGCAACCTGCACCACAGATTGGCACTCACAGCTTTTTCTGTCACTAACATACTGTTTGAGTACTTGATTGACTTCTGAAATACAGATTAAATTTAAAGATTTGGCTTGTACCCTCTTTGTTAGCCTAGTGGGCAAGTTGAACTATCAAGAGAGTAGTTTATTGTCATTAGACTTGGATAGCAACAAATGCATTGTATGGATTTTAGCAAGTTGAACTATCACAGAGAGTAGTTTATTGCCATTAGACTTGCATACCAACAAATGAATTGCATGAATTTTAGCAAGTACTGAACAGTTCAAGCATCCAACAAGAAGACCTCAAGAGATCTTAAAGAAAAAGTTTTTTTCTGAAAAGAAACTTCTACTTCATTTTCCAATCTAAAAAGGTTGATTACTGTCTTCTGTGCTTGGAAATCCCCTGGTGATTCTGAGGATTTGCATATTAGCAATGATGATGATGATGAATGCTTGATTTTATACTGAAAACTCCAAATGAGTTCATGAAGGAAAGTGACTCATTAGACATTGTTAAGACACTTAGATATGTATCATATAAGATAGAGGCTATCTCTCTGTCATCAGAGACATAAATACTCTATGCCTCCCATGAGAACAGAGCTTGTGAATTTTCAGACCTCAATGAGGCATCAAGTCTTGAATGAGGACTCTTGTGTTCTCATTCAATGATGTTATTGCCCACCATCCTTTTGCCTTTAACTTAAATGAGCTACCAACCTCACTCCCATAAAGCCACCTCTTTCAGTCTTCTGGACTTGAGACCTGCAAGTTAACCAACTCAATCAGAGTGCCTTTAGCAAAGAATGAGAGGACAGGAAATCTCTTTGGCCTCAGTGCAATGAGATAAGACCACTGAGAATGCCAAAGTAATTGGTCATTGTTCATCATGTAACATCATTATATGGTCATCTCAATGAATAACACAAACACAAACACAAACACACACAATCTCCATTGTCATGGGAATTGAAGATCTAACTTAACAAGATTGTATCTTGTTTTGCCCAATTGCAATACAACAATGGGTGAGACCACAATAGTCATGCTTATCATGATTTGACACAAGAGCTCAAAGCAGGTGATTGTTTGGGTTAGCATCTGATTGGAAGACAATGTGCCATATATTATTTAATTATGAGCAATTACAACTCAACAATGGATTTCTCTATCTAGGAGGCTTTTGAATCAGCATAAGCATAAATCCTTTATATACCGAACATTACTTGGAAACATCTAAGGGAAGTGGATAGTCATAAAGGATGAAATAATAACAAGCTTATAAGACATCATAACAAGAATTCGAATTCTGAGATTTATAATTTATATAATAACATACTAATCAATTGAATGTCTCAATAGAGATTCTCACAACAGGCCTAATTGGTTGGGTGTGTGTGCATTATATTTTTGAAATTTTGTTAATAGGTCAATGTGGGCTCTATCATTATTGGCTCATCCCCAATAGTTTGAAAAATAATGAGCCCTAAATTTTTGAATGATCTTATTCCAAATTGAGCCCGCAAAACATATAACTAGTGTGAATGAGTCTCCTACCTAGCCAAAATACAAGTCTTAAAAGAAGAATTATTTATAATTATTTATCATTTTTTGGAAATCCAACAAATATATATTTTGAAATAATGAACTATTTCTACTTTAGAAGTTTAGAATAAAACCTCAACTAATTAATGATTCAGTTCATCATATATTCATTTGACAGATTCATTAATTAAGTTATTTATTAAAAAAAGTTGTCTGATTCAAAATTGTCCAATTATTGAACTTTTGATCTTTTTACCTTCTTTTGATGCATCTAAAAAAAATGAAACTTTACTATTATTTTCCTGCTCAAGCTCATGCAAATCTTCTCCTTTTTTTTTGTAAGCTTTAGTATGTAGAAATGGAAAAAAAAAAAAAAAGACAGGAAAATTAGAAAAAATGATCCTATTAAATCCCCAGTTGTATGTGCAGAAAGTGAAAAAAAAGGAAAACATCAGCTCTTTTTTACTGAAAACCTCTTGGTTCAATCACAGTCTTTTCAATTTTTTTTATTAATTTAAAAGAAAATATAACCTAATTTTAAGTCCAAATAATTTGCATCCTCATCAACTCCTCAAATTCACAACATGCAGCAATGCAACCACAAAACCTTCTTTCAGGTGATCTACTAAATAAAAAAGAAGTGCATCTCAGATAGGTTGTGGAGATCTGCAAGTCAATGCCATCCTTCAGGCCTCTTTCTTCATCTGATGGCTTACCTCTGCTTGTTCTTTTGCAAGATAATGGCATCTACAAGCAGTGCAGCTAACTGTGCCACAACATGATAGCATCTTCCAGTCTGAACATTTTACACTGTTCAACCTGAAATTTACTGTTTAATATTATTCCTTTTCCGACAAAAAGGAAGTGTAGATCCAAAAAAAAAAAGCCTAGCAACAATCTACTGCTGCTATTTAGTTATTGTATTAAAGATCAGTCCATCTTGACACACGCAAATTACCTCTCTATCAAGAGATTACAAGAACTGGACTTCACAGCTCCTGGTGGATCTTGCTGCTCCCTCATCTGTTATGGAGGTTGATTTGTCTATTTTACTGGTCTCGAGAGAGTGTGTTACACAGGAGAAGAGAAGAGTCAAACATGTCTCCAACACTTGCCAACTGCAGCACACAGTGTGTACCACAATGCATTCTTACGGAGTGTTGCAGTATCTGATGGAAGCAGCATGTCCTCTGAAACATACAATGAAAGGTAAACTCACATGCAGTGGTGTTTCGGAGCAACAAAAACCAATATGAAGTTTACTTCATCCTCGAGCTCAATGTTCCTTTTGTGCAGATTAAATATAACAAGATTCAAGAGTATATTTTCACTGCATATCAAGAACTTGAATTCATCTTTGCACAGCCCAAGTCCTTGAATTGTGGGAATCAAGAACAAGAACAAGCGGGCATCATACAACCTTGGAATGATTGATACAGATCATTGTTCATAGCTACTTGGTGATCCTTCAATTGAAGGCACGTAAGAACGATTGACTCTGTTTCTTACTGCCATGTCTGCTATTAATTGTTGCAGACCTGTGAAAAGAATTGGTCACAGGACAAGACAGGGCAATTGAGATGTACCAAACTTGTAACTGGGCAACGAGGAAAAGGAACACTAGGAGGACGAATGGTGCGTGTTCTGTGAACAGTTACATTATTATTCTGTTTCTGGTAATTCCATAGCTGTGCACAGACAGAGAAAGAAAGAGAAAAGGGGAAAGATCTGAGGGCAATGGAGAGTTCTGTGGATCATTTCTTTCTTCAGTTCCTCCTCCACACCCTACCTCGCCATCGATCTCCCTTCCAAGGTAAGAATCGTCCGATCCCCCAATCGCCTCTGATTCCATCCTTCTCGTCTCGGCTCTCGTGAAAGGAAAGGAGATTGCTTTACGGGAAAAAAAAATCGTTTTTGGGGTAGATTGTGTGGAGCTTTCTTGGTGTTCGTTGATTTTGACTGGAGATCTTGGTTGGATTTGCCTTTCGGATGGTTGGATCCATCGATATGGAGACGAATTGAGATGGGTGGACGAGTTTTGTGGGGGAAAAATCTCGACTTCTCCTTTTTCTTCTGGTTTGTCTGCAATTTCGTGCTGTGTTTTGGATTTGAGATGCCAAGATGACATTGTTATATGTTTCTTCGTTGATCGTGGCTACTTAGTTCTTCTGTATGTGGTCAAATTTTGTTATTGGCTTTGTTCGAGGTACAGTTATTTTGGTTCAGAATGTTCCATGTTCCAAGATTTCAGATTGAGACGTTACATAAACCATCTCAATCTGTTGATTCTTGTTCTTCCAGTTGAGCTTAATCATCTTTACCTATGTTTTCTTGCTATAGATGGAGAAACTTGTATCGATATGAGGAGATGAGAGGGCACAGGTCTGTTGTTAGTGGTCACATATATTCCTGCAACTTTTAGGAAACTTTTGCTTGATTCATGGAAATTGTCTCGTCAGTTTGCTCTAATCTGGAGTATCTAGGTTTTAGATTACCTTGAATTGCCACAATGATGAATGTAGATTGTCATATTGGTGTTTTGCGTTTTTCAGTTCCGAAAAAAGAGAAATTGCATTCTGTCTTACACATAATAAGTAGCAGAATACCTTCAAGAAGGTTCCTTAAATTTTCTTGTTGTTGAGAAGTAAAAGATTATAGATTTTACTCATTAGACAGTAGTCCCTGAACTTGACCTTTTATATATTCGATCAAATTTGTCGATTAGGTTCATGTATATCAATGTCAGTCCACATATTGATGTATACTTAGCTAATACTATATAACACATTAGGCAATGTTCTCATGTATAGAGACAGTTATAAAATTCCCGACATACAACAGTGCAGTGAATAATGTGATCAAACTCTCACGTCGCTTTGTTGATTCTCATTACATCAGTTGTTTGGGTAGCAAGGACTTTTTTTTTTGGCAGTTCATTCCTGGTTGAAATCTTTCTCCAGGATCTTACCTCTTTCATTGCATAGACCATGAAATTTCTTCTTTTTTTCTTTTTTGCATCGTATATCATGCTTGCATGTACGTATGCTGTGCATCATGTGCAGCAATTCAAGTGTTCATCAGTGTCACTGTAACCTTCAGTGATCTTTGGCTTGTCATTTGTTTAAGCGTCTTACACTGAAGAGGTGTTTTAATTTCCAGTTGTCTACTTTTCAGGCATTTTGTTGCTTGAGTTTAAGTTTTTCTGCACGAAATTGCAGCCTCTCGAATGATAATTTCATATTCTAATTGCCCTCCTGGTAGCAATGGGCATTATAAAGTTAAGGCCTCAGCGGCCTGGAAATGATCATCATTTACGGCGAAGCTCTTTCATCATTCTGCAAAATGAGGATACACATGAGCTGGAGAAGACTCTTGGTGATGATTCCGATGACTGCGAACTTGGTGAAGTGGGCTATGAGTATGTCATGGTTGGAGGTCAAACATGTGGTATTCCTTATGAGCTTTATGAACTTCCTGATCTGAAAGAGATACTGTCCGTAGAGACTTGGAATTACTATTTAACCGAAGATGAAAGGTTTTCTCTGGCAGCTTTTCTTCCAGATATGAGCCAAGAGACAGTTTGGATTGCAATAAAAGAACTGCTTACGGATGTTGATGTGTTCTTCGGTAGCCCACTCAAGAAGTTCTACAGTGGATTGAGGGGTGGACTTTATTCTCCACAGGTTACTCATTTAAGAGAAGGCATACACTTCTTACAGAGAAGTGAATACTATCATAGCTTAAGATCATACCATGAGAATCTGTCTCAGGTGTTTGTAGAGATGAAAGAGGTATGGAATAGATGTCGACCAACCACCAGTATCGAAGAAAGAGTTCAAATTTGGAACAGCAGGAAAGAGAACAAGCCTGTTTTTGTAGTTGATCTAAATACATTTCCAGATGAAGGTACCTTAAAAAAGGGTGACAGTAATGACAGAATTGTTGAAACTGTACCTTTCTCGAAGAAGACTAAGATGTATATGAATCAAAGTCATGACTCAAAGGTTCTTGTGAGTGGTCTAGTCTGTAGCACCAAAAGAAAAGCAAAGGGATTTCTGAAGTTAAAGCCAATCGTAACGAACTCGGTGCCAATTCAGATGATGCAAGCATTGCCAGATAAATCAGGGAAACCATCTATGCGGCTGCCAAAAGGCGTTCTGAAAATAAAGCCCAGATATGATCCTCTTAGTGAGGAAAAACTAAGACCAAAACCAGAACAAATTTCTGTGGATGGTTGGGGTACTCATGCACACCAGGTCTTACCTCCACAATTTGCTTTCAAGAGAGACAACCTTAATCTTAGCAAGAGGTTACCATTTTCACATCAGGTAGATAGAGATGGAAGAACTTACAGAGACACAGAGGACAAACAAGATTGGCAAAGAGATGAGGATCTATATGCAGGTTGTGGATCAGTTGATTATTCTGAGAGTGAGAGATTCCAAAGGAAGCCAAAGATGATAATAGACTTGAGGCATGATGATGTAGAGATATGCAAAGGGTGGTTTCCTTCACAAACTAACCAGAATTTAAGAATTTATCCTCAAGAAGATGGTCATATTAGAGAGTGCCAGGGTAAGAAAAGTAGCTGGAATAGCTCGAACACTCAGCCAAATAGATCATTTGAAAGTTTGGCAGATCCAAAGAAAGAATCTTTTAAACATGCACTTGAAAATTATCAAGAAAGAAAGCCGAGTGCTTTAATTTCCGAAGCATGTTTTGGGGTGTCAAACAATTGTACCCACCAGCATGAGATTTTGACAAAATTCTCTGATCATTTGGACCATCAATGTAAAGATAATGGTGCAGTAAATGTGGCAGTTTCAGGAGTCAAAGAAGGTCTCATGCTTCCTATAACATACAAGAGGAAAAAGCCTCAGAGAAAGCTCAACCAGGTGAATTCTCTTAAGCAGCAGCAGCCAAATGTAGTGAGTTTGGAGTCAGCTGCTCCTAGTGGAATACTAAAGCCGAAACCAATGGCCATTAAGATTAAGTTCAGTGGTTTGACAGGTTACAATGCTTAACGAATAAAAGCTTCTGCTGGATCGACTGTGACATGAACATCAATCCAGGTAACGCAGCCAGATGCAGCAATGAGAATCTTTGAAAGGCATATTATACATTGAAGAACAGCAAATGCTTCATGAAGCTATGGGTATCGTTCGATGGAACTTGGCGGATCTGCTACTTCTTGGCTTTCGACTCTGAGCAGCCACTTTGATGGATCATGCCGAAACTATTTGTTGGAAATGGTGCTGAACTGACACAGTTTGAGCTAAGAAGAATCATCCAGCACAGGTCACATTTCATCCCTTTCCCGGGGATGATAAACAGGGAGATGGTTTTTCTTGCTCAGTAGTCACTAGCTTCATGTGGTCAGACATTGTCGATCGATGTATGCTAATGAGTAATGAAATTGATATTCTTCATTGCATATGCCTTTCAAATATGCTCAAACATGTTTTTTTTTAATAATTCAAGCATTTACCTATTTTTATCATCTAAATTGAGTATGGTCAGCATTTACTTCATTGTTCACTGTTTGATCTTTCTTGGATTTCTTAAATAGTTGTTGACGAATCTCCATACCTAGAAATCCCTTGGGCATATTGACAAACTCCATACTCCATAGTATGTTTTGTTTTTAACTTTGTTACGTATTTGTACAATGCAAATGTTTTCACATATATATTAATTACTCTTCTTGTTAGATTATTCAACTCATTTGTTTATTGAAGTGAAATAAATCATATCTTTAAGGCTTGAATAATAAAAATATGTTCTTTATTACCTGTAAAGGAAATAGTTAGATTAAACTAAACGTCAAACAATCATACGAAATGTTCCTGAGACTCCAAGGAGCAGATTCTAGAATCAGGACTGCTTGTATTGCTTGCAACGAATCAGATCGTATCCGTAGGTCCTCAATGCCTTCTGAAGCAATGTATTTGATTCCTTTCGATGTAGCTTTGCATTCAACTTGCAGAATACTTCAAGCAACAAGAGGAAGAGCTGCCAGCAATGCAAAATAAAAAATAAATAAAATAAAATTTATTTAAAAATAATTTTAAAAATCAATTATACCTGCATAACTAAAAAAATAATAAATTTAATAAAATATAATAATACTATATTAAGTCTAACTAATAATATAAGTCATAGCGGTTCTATGTCATCAATATTATACTTGTATCACGATAATATTAGTCCTTTATAAAATGACTCATATAATTTATCTTGTTAAAATAATTATATTATCATATTTAATTATAATATGTATATATGTAAATATGAAACAGAAACAAATAACTTTAAGTATGTAAGTAAAAATATCAATTATAATATTCATTCAAACGTACATCATCATATTTTTTTTAGGCTACTCACGGATCTAATCATATTCTTTCAAATACTTTAATTCATAAGTCTTAAGTGAATGGATCAACAATCAATATAGTAGAACTCGAGTTATTAATTGACATTAGTTATTTTTAGACTCTTTTCTCAAACTATTAAATACTTTATACTAATACATAGAACTGTAAAAGTATTTATCATTCTTAAAGAAAAATAACTGGAATAACTTGAACACTTAGCCAAATGGTTTAATCGTCCCAACTTACATCTATTCCCAAATCTTTTTCTCTCGAAGCCATCGATTTTCACTATCGATCTTCTTTCTAATGGACAAATGTTAACTATCCTTATTATAACTTTCTCATTTTTAAGATTGAAGAAATAACCTCCGTACTCTATTTTTACATGAGGTCTCTCACATCTTACAATTTAGAATTATAATCAAATTCAAGAGGAGAAAAAGACTTATGCTCAAAATAAGAGTTTATAGTATTTTTGTGCTCAGAAATAAGTGCTCCATCAAACAAGCCTAAGTGAGGTATTTATAAACCCCAAAAAACTTAATGAATGGATCCAAAAATTTAAATATCTAAGATTTCATGGTACTAATAGTACTACTACCAGTATCGAATGATAATATCACTTTAATGAGATCACAAATCTTAGCTCTTGCGATACTATCATCACCCTAAGTGTACTACCATTGTCTTGGGTGGTGCTACCACCATGGGTGGTACTATAGTCAGAAACATCGAAAAAGCATAAATAGTTCTTTTCAAAAAAGTATAAATAGTACTTTTCAACTGACTTAGGTGGTACGATTACTTGGGCTAGCGGTAAGATTATTGATTTGGTCTTCTAATAAACCCAATTTGGTCTTGGTTCAAGCTCAATAGGTTCCTTGATAAGTTGGCATAGTTTCGATCCAATGCCAACTTAAATTAATCCAAAATAACCTTAATCAAGATTTTAATAAATAAACCACATATTCAATATATTTACGAAGCTTTGATCACATTGTATACTCTTCCAACGTATCGTCCAATCTTTCAGCACTTCGTTTAAACCTCCGGCATATCACCTTTGTCTTCGCCATATGTATTTACTTTTTAAAAATATCCAATCTTTCAACATAATATTCAATTCTACCAGTATTATGCCCGAACTTATCTCAAAAATATAATATCTAATAAACTCATTAATTAATTTTATTATCAAAATTTAATCCCCAGTTTGACGAGCCTATTCGGCCGCAGAAGCAGCGGCAGAGGTGAATCCCTAAAGAACCAGAGAGAGGATTTTCGATGGGATAACACGGCATGTTGGATGAAGATGGTTTGAATCTCCTCGACTGGGGAAGCAATAATGTGTTGACGACACGGTGTGCCTCTGGGATGATGCAAACAAGTCGACTAAGGTGCTTCTACAAGCCGTAGAAGACAGCGGACCTATCACTAGCATCAGCTGGTCGCCGGATGGCAACGTCCTTGCTGTCGCATTCGGCAATTCAGTTTTAGCCTTGGTTGATCCAGCATCAGGACAAGATGTGAATTGTGACGGAAGAAGATGAGAACCCGACCCCTGTGTTGTCTGTTCTTGCCTGGAGAAGTAGTTCAATCTTGACAACGGGCGACTCAATTGCCTGTTCTTGTGTCGCGGTAGCGGTAAGCGGGACGAGACAACCAGTTGAATCCTTTCCTTCCTCGGGACGGGACAATGAGTTGAATCGATTCGATCAGAAGAAGGATCAGACGGGAGCTCCGTTGTGGACAACGTTAATGGCTTGATGGCAGGTTCCATGTTCTCGAGTCATGGCACGTACTTTCTGACGCGCCACAGTCCTTGGTTTTGCATGCATGCATCTTTTGTGCCTATACTTTACAGAGGTTTTTTATTCCACAAAATTTCTACCTTACAAAATTTCTACCATACTATCCTTATTTGTATAGGGATTAAGTTGGTGGTAGAATTTATTAGTGCAATTTGATTTGGATCCAATTTGCATAGGAGGTTTTCATTTCGTCCGATGTGCTTATGAGTTTTACTTCCGAATCATTAATTTGATGTCGACTAAGTTGGACTCCAACTTGTGTTATGAGCCTTTGATCTCGTTCGAGGTGTTTATGAACGTTCAATGTGATGTCAACTTGTACTAAAATTGATGTCGGATGGATTCCCAATGTGATCACTTCGATACTCAAATCAAAATTTCGAAATAAATTATGTAGCGAAAGAAGAGGATGATAAGATCGTTAATCACATTCACATTTTATAATAGATCCTCCTTAAACATAAGTAGTTAGGAAAATATTTCCTTGTTTTGTCTTTTTCTTTTAACTTGTATGCTACTTTTTTAGTGTTAAGTTTTGGTTGGAGGTGAACATTTTTTCTATCACTAGATATTATATGAACATTTTTAAAATTTTGTGGTCAGAAGATTCTCTGAAGTAAAGAAAAATTTATTGTAGAAGTTTAATGTTATTTTTTTAATGATCAAAATTGATTAAAAATTAAATTGATAGAAACATAAAATGCATTGTCAAGTGTATTCAATTAAATGAAACTTATTATTGTGATGTCTCTAACCAAAAACCCTTCCAATTATGATAAGTGTCTAACATAGGCGATAACTCAATGTCTCGTAGTTGATATAAAGAATTTGATTTTTCTGGATTTAAGTAGGGATTTGTCGAACCATATCAAATTTTTGTTGACTTTCTAGTATACTTTTGATTGTTGATCTCGATTTTTTTTTGGAATTCTCCTTTTCCTCCCAACAAGTTGAGTCCAAAAGATTCAACGGTTAGAGATTCAAATGAGGATGAGTAATAAAGATTAGCAAAAGTATTTTCTCTTCAAAGATATAAAAGTAGACAAAATACTTCAATATTGTTAGGATTAACAAGTATTTTAGAATTCTCGGAGCCACTGTCCCAATGGAATAGGGAATCCTAATATAAGAAGTTCTCAAAAACTAATAACTAGAATTTTATTCTTCCATAAATATCTCATGTATCTTTAAGTTTTGGTAAAAAAAAAGTAAAATGTGAAAAATAATTTTGGTATTCCTAAGTTTTTCTCTGGGATATCCAGAGAGAGTACTACTCTTAAGGGTTTTATAGAGATGATGAAAAAAATAATAAATTCCTCAGGATTTATCCAAAGGGCATGTAAAAAAAATCGAGTGAGGATAAGACAGCAGAGAAGACAACTCAATTAGATTGCGGTAGTCTTTCTAGCTTTCCAGCATTGTTCTTCCCAAATCACCATCTGTTAAAGACAACTTTTACATATAAAAGTAATTGGTCAGTGGTTTATGCAAATGAGTTGTCCTTGTTGATGTCACCAGCCTTGTGAAACTTGATGAGAACAAGGTTTGTTTACTCCACACTACTTTGGAATCTCAAGTAGAAGGCTGCGAGTATCTCCCTTTATATTGCCATCATCTACATCACCTTTCATCACTTGCAGATGTCCAGTGCAATCTAAGAAAGAATGGGACTAAAACCTGGCACGCTCCGGAGGTCTGGTTCTTCACCACTTCCAACCCAAGAAGAAGCTCCGGTGGCTAGGAGAACACTGGCAGAACTATTCATCCCTCGGTGTCTGAGGGTGGACAACAACAGCAAGGAAGAAGACGGGGAAGAGATGGCGGGGAGGGAGAGGAAGCCAACCTTGGAGGAGTGGCTCCTCTCCTCTCCTGGCCTTGAGCTCGACTCCGTCGTTGCGAGCGGATCGCAGCACCGCAGACACTCTCCCAAAGTCTGTCCTCTTAGTCCGGCGTTCCCCTACGATCACCTCCGTTCCACACCAAGACACAGCTCTGCAACTGATGAAGGACGGATCTCTTTCAGCAGAAGCGAGAGTCAGAAGAAGAGGGTGAGTTTTCGATTACCTGACGAAGCAGACATCCATATAATATACTCGCACGGTGACGCAGAAGAGCGTGAGAATGGCGGAGTTGGTGAACGAGTGTAAGCGCAGGACATCTACCGTAGATGCAATCTAAAGCTCTCATCTCATCTCCTTTGCTAAGAGAGATGCGTACTGTTTCCAGCTTGATGTGATTGTAAGCGAGG